TTTTCCAAACTAGACAGTATTCAAACGTCAAACAGTATTGCAGGGAATTCCGCCTTTTTTTTTTATAAAAAAAACAGAAGAGAATTCTATATAATTGAATCCAACAATATTAAAATATTTAAGTTAGCTATGCAACGAATTTTGTCTTTACTTTTGTAACAAAAGATAATTTTTTTCTCTGAATCAAACAGTATTCAAATAATAAAGTTTGTTTTTTAGTCTCAAAAGGGTAACACTGATATTTATTTAATTATTTAGGTGTATTTAGGTTCTGCCAACTTATTTTTTGCAGATGTTAACTTGTTTCAAATTCAAACTACAGCAGTTTTAAAAATATTTGCTTTATTAAGAAATAATTGCTATAATAAACGTAATATACAACGTAAATAAAGCACGTACGATGGCAAAAAACAGACTTTTTATAACTGCGGTTCAATTCTTCAGTGTAGAAACACAGAATGACAGCAGAAAATAAACAAACAATTTGTAATAGAAAAGTGGTCCAACTAATAGAAAAGGTACTAACTTGGACAAGATAAAACATAAGGGAAAATAATAAATTGTTGTTTATGGAGAAATAGGGTGACAATTCCAGGGTGCTAGATATAGAAACTAAATTACCATAGATTTATAAACATTGGTGGACAAACTAGAAAGATCATTTTAAGACTAGAGAGATCAAAGCTAGAAATGTTGCTAAGATCAGATTTGAGATATTAAAAAGATCATTAAATAAGAGCAGAAGTGAATGATTTTCAAAGAAAAAAATTCAAACCTGATTGAAATTTAAGTAGTAAGGTGGAAAGCTTGCCTAACAAATAAATTTGTTTTATTTAAAAGTTTAAGGGTACGGTTAACTTGTTTACACAATAAAAGAAATTTGACAGATACTCAAGCTATTATTAGCAGGAACACTATGGACATATGGACCTAAATATTGTAAAATTTAATTTACAGAAGAGAAAATGACATTAAATCAAAATTTATTCAAACTCTTAATTTAAATATGATTATATTGGGCTAAACAATACTCATGCTATGATGTATCTACATTTACTATTTGATAAAAACAAAAATAATTTTTTTTTGTAATTTAATTGGAAAACGTTATGATTTGATCTGTCTAAACGGATAGTCAAATTGCTGCCTCAAAAGTGGTCTATTTACGAAGTTCATTGTATTCCTTTTTAAAAGTTGACTGATTATCAAATAAAAAACTCTAAAACCAAAATTAAGTTTACATATTTTTCAAACATTTATGCCGGAATTTTGCGTTTATTCTACACATATTGTATTGAATGCAGAGTTTCAAGACCCCGTTGCTTTTGTTTCAGTTTTGACAAAAATGCGTGAAACTAAACGATATTACATAATGAAGATAGAAAAAACAGAGTTATAAACTAAGTTTAATGAAAGAAAAAAGAAGTATTAAGTATCATGACAATATTGAATCCATGTTTATTTAAAAGCAGGCAGAAGTTAAACTTATATAACTCAAGTCTGGCGAAAATAAAAGAGCCCGGAGGAGTATAAGAAAACATTATGGTGCCTTCAGGATCCAGGATCCCTTACTTAATGAATATAAGACTCCTATGAACCCAAAAAATTAGCATATATACATCGTCAGAAATTTTTGGTCCATTCTGAATTGTTATATAGTTCGAATTGCTAATCATTTAACTGCAATCTTTAATGCTACCTTAATACGTATGCAATCTTGTGCAACCTTAACACGCTGAATGCCATGCTAATTTTACATGGCTTGCCAGTCAAGCCAAAATGATTTTCTCAGTATGCGTTGCATATTTTGATGAAATATTAATTACAACAAAACAGCTAATTTTTGTAATCATTCGTGTTACCAAAATTTGCGATAATTATGTGCTTTTAATAATCTTGGCATCGCCGGTCATCCCTGTGGCACTAGGAGCAAACTCAGTGCCGGTCACCGTTGACCCCGAGTGGCATTCAACGTGTTAATACGCAGGGCTAAAGAGAATAGAAGGGATAGTTCACTCCGCTCTTAGAGCTGAAGCTACGATTTCCCTCCTCATGACGTCACTGTGTCCACAGATCTCGGAGATCGCAAGCAAAGATATTATGATAACTTTGCATCTTTCTCTTTGTAAAAATAAGTTAGACTTTTTTTGGTTATTAGCTTTCAAACTTTACGTAATTAATACATTATTTCCGTTCATAAACATAGTTCAAAAAAACTTTCTTGGCCATTATATTAAAAAAAATACCATTTTAAACTTATAAAAATGTTTTACTAGTTGGCGAAAATGACACTATAAATACTTTATTTTAAAAAGTTCAGTTTTAACTTTAATTATTAAGAAAAATGAAAGCATATATCGACACTTTTTTTTATCTACATATTCTTTTATAACAATAAGTTGAGTTAAATTTAGAATACCTGATTTTAAAATATGCCGTTAATAGCAATTTGTTCATACTTAATCATTAGGAAACATCAACCTTAAACGCTAATTACTGAAACAAAATAATAATTTAGGTTCATAATGACATTAGAAATTTTGCAATTGTTCATAGACCCCATAGACTGCTGAACTCAAACTGTCTTTTATTTTAACTTTTTATACTATTTCATGATGTATGGGATATGGGCCTTCTGCGCAGCCCAGGTGCCCAATTTTTTATAAATAAAGAAAGAATTGCTTATAGATATTTAAATTTACGATGATATAATTTATAGATATTTAAATTTAAGAGAATATAATTTTTAAAGAAATCATAAATATTTAGAATAACTATATTAAAAATATGTTATGAAATTAGGAGAATTTCAACTATATACTATATATTTTATTTATACTTTTTATTTACATTTTAATTTTCTTTGACTTTATCCATTTTTTAATTTTTTTCACCTGCCTTTCTTTTTGAAGTAACGAGGCGGATAATGAATTTTTATAAAAGTTCTTAATGACAGAATAAACGTACTGCTGTTTTATATTAACTGTGTCATTTCGGAATCCATTTTTTACATAGTTGTTCATTTACTTTAGGGAACACGCGGAAAATTATATTTTTCCCCTTTGTTTTTCTATCAGAATTTTTTCAAGTTGCAATCGCGCAAACTGGCATTTCGATAATAGTTTTAAATTCTTGTAAATTCATTGCAAAAGCTGAGGGAAAGTCATTATAGAAAATAACAAATGTCTTAGAATATCTCGCAAAAAGAAATGCTCCAATATTAGTTAGAGCTAGTAAGGCCGAACGCTGCGTTCTTTAAGTAAAAGTGCGAGCTTTGCGCCAAAGTGACGTCACTTGAGAAAATCGGAGGATCGGCGCGGCGAGAGCTACTTCAAAGGAGTGAACCAGCCCTTCTATTCTCTTGAGCCCTGGTTAATACGAGGCCAAGTTGCACTATTAGTGCAAATTGGTCCTTTAACTTGATTACATGATACTACGGTCCAACCTAAAAGAAAATATAGTTCATCTCAACTCTTCATTACATTACGACAGTGCAGAAAATTCTTTGTGATATGCTGTAGTATATAAATTTGGGTAGAGTTCAAAATTATACAAAAAAAGGAAACACCTAGATAACTTTTGATCTAATGATTGAATTATCGCGTACTATATTATAATCTTTATGGTTCGAAGAACTAATCTTAATTATGATAATTCATTTGTGAAGATTTTAAGACAGAAAAACGTACTTTTTTTTGATAGATTTGTATTTTTGAATTTCAAAATAAGGGAGAGTGGCCATAATCTCAAAAACATGCTCTATATAATTCGGCTGAAAAAGCGGTTTAAAGTTTGGACTCCTTAATGTTAATTTCACTTTCAGCATATTTCCCCCTATCTCGATCTCTAAGCAAATCAACACATAATTGCAAATTCATTTTTCAAAGATATCTTGAATAAAAATTATCATTTATTTTAATAATGAACTAACAATATTGAATTGTGAGGTATATTAATTTTTACATTATTTTAATCTAGGTAGTTAAATAACAAAAGCCAAACGGAATTAATCAAACTCTTGAGACTAAGAATTTAAAAACAAGACTAAGATGGTGGAATGCATAAAAATAAAACAGTGTGTAAACACTAAACTATCAGACCAGTAGGGAGAATTTTCGACGATGTCAACCTTCAACTATAAAATAGTATCCCAGCATAGAATCGAGTTAACATGTCATATATTAGAGAATTATAATTGAATAACTGTAGTGGTAGATAAGCTACAGTACTCTTCTACCAGATCTTAATCTGTTATACGATGATGAGCGGATACCACAAGTTTAATCATTGCTGTTTTGTAAGAAACCGGGAGAGCAGTATTATGATCACCGGGCGTTGAGTGCTGATTGTGAGAGTTATATTAAATTCAGGGTCGTGGTTGTTTCTGAGTTGCCATTAGCAGTCGAGTGTTTAGAGGCAGACATTGTGGGTGATCGAGACTGAGTAGCAACAGCACGAAGAGGTGGACAATATTGGGAGTCACAAATTGCAAGTCAACTATTCATTGTGAACCATCTATCAAAGTAGGCATATTCAAATTGAAGTAGGCATGTCTTTCGAGGTAGGATAGTTTAACTCACGTCTGGGTCACCAATGTGGGAAGAGGATTATCGACAATGCCAATTTTCATTTATAAAAAAGATTCTCCAATATAGAATCTTATTAACATGTCTTATATGCTTGTGAATTGGAATTGAATAATTGTTGTGGTAGACACGCTGCAGACCATGTTTCTTAGATAGTTGCTTTCCCTCATATTTTAAAGTAAAAAATTCAAATATGTCAAAAAAAGATATATCTATTCAGAAATAGTACGTTTCTGGGTCTGATTTCGTAAGTTACAATATCTGCACAAATTGATAAGAATATTTAAGTAAACAATTAAGACTGCATTTTTGTTCCGGATAGTTTCGGAAAAAGATCAAAAGTTATTTTTATATCATCTTTTTTATTTTGAGTTTGCAGAAACCAGTACTAAATAAAATAATTACAGAAATATCTTTCAATGGAAATAAAAACTTTAATTTGAAATTCAGAACATTGCAAAAATTTCAAAATGCAAAAAATCGTAACTAGGGAAACTGCTTATATAGAATATTATACGCTTGATAATGGCTTCTTATCCTCAGATTTTCTTGAAATAACAAATAATCTTAATTTTAAATCCTTTCGTGCTTTAAATTTATTATAAATGATAAAAGGAGCAAGCATAACAGTTATTATGATACCAATAAAGCCAGCAGTTTTTCGAATTGTATAGATTGAACTGTGATGTCCGTTTAGATCAGATTCGATTTCATATTGAATATACTGGATATCAATTGTTTCAGTTTCTTTAGGTATATTTGTATTATAATCGATTTCATATTGAAGATTGTGAATGTCATATGTTTCCGTTTCTTTAGGTATATCCGTATTAGCTTCGATTTCATTTAGAATATCCTGGATATTAAATGTTCCTATTTCTTCAGGTATATCCGTATTAGATTTTATTTCATTTAGGAGATCCTGGATATTAAATATTCCCATTTCTTTAGGTATATCAGTATTAGATTCCATTTCATTTAGGAGATCCTGGATATTAAATGTTCCCATTTCTTCAGGTATATCCGCATTAGATTCGATTTCATTAAGTAACTTCTGAATATCAATTGTAAGAGTATTTGCAGGTGCGACCTCGTTAGATTTGATTTCATTTAGAAAATTCAGAACATCAATCGCACCATTTTCTACGGGTATATTCGTATTTGTTTTGACTTCCAGAAAGAAATTTTGAAGGTCAGGAAATTTTTTTGGTATACTTGATTCTTCTTGGTACTTTGATATTATTAATTCTAATTTAGCTCGTTCCTTCTCAAACCAAGTTCTTTCTGAAAAGTCAGAATCTTTTTGAGGAACATTTTCGAGTTCGTTGTTTGACCAATCAACCACGTCATCAATGTCTTCCTTCTCTGCGCCATCTGAAAAAAATTTAGTAATTTTTGATTTACTATGATTTGTTTTATCTAGAAATATTGTTTAAGCTTATGTATGTAATGTAACGCCAGGTAAGCATAGGAAAATTAGCAGAAGTGGTTAAAAATATTAGATAACATTCAAAATCAGAATTTTATTTTATATAAATTTTAGAATTTTTCAGCTATATACAACTATATTCAGCTATATACCTTCCAAACGAACAAGACTATTTAAGATATGATTTCTTAAAAATTCGACTTCTCAGAAACTATTTGACCCATTTCTTTTGAATTTTGCCATTTAAATATGTATTCTTTAAAATGATGTAAAAAGTTGTATACTTTATACTTCAGAAGTTTTTTTTGACAATTATTAAATAAAATTTAAAAAAAATATTCACGGGAAGTTATATTTTACACAGCTTTATCATTTACTAAACAAATTTTATAATAGAATGCAAAATTTTTCCAATTAGTTTAAAAAGTGATAGAAACATGGTGAAATACGCAAAAACTAAAATTAAAATTAAGGAAATCAAACATTGAACCCTCCTGAGAAATTAGTGACCGTATTTCGCAGATTGTGGCTCACCCCCCCCCCCCATCTATATTTTGGGAGCTAGATCCGTCGAAAAAAGGTCTGTTTATTGAGAGAAAGTATATTTTTATGTTCGATTTTGTAACCTAAAATATCGTCTACTCTTATGAATATTAGCATATTTGAGGTCATCCCTTTGAATCCTAATACTGAGCCCAAGAACGTGAAAATCATTTCATTAGATCAAATTATAACAACTTTGGTCCGTTTTACATTTTGCCCACTTTGCACTAATATAAATTTAAGAATGCAAATTTACTAACGTTATAAGGATTCTCACACTTTTTATTTTATTTTCCTATTTTCGATGTACAGTAGAAAGCTCTCTCATGATTGAAGGTTTGAGTGGATGATGTGCATGAAATATATTGTTGTAGTTATTGAAGGTTTGAGTGGATGATGTGTATGAAATATATCATACCTGCCAACTTCCACTCCTTCCGAGAATGGATTCTTAGAGTGGCTGTAAAACAATAAACGAAAAACAATCTGACTCAAAAATATATTTATATTTTGATCCAGTTGAAATTCGCTTGCGTAAAGTTTATTATGCTTTCATATATTTATTGTAATTATTTATATGTAGTGGTGGTCAGACTCATCTATAATTATCATTATAATTCGAAAAGTTGATTGGAATAACCTGAGTATTGCTACCACTTTAAATATGAAAATAAAATCTTCCGGAAAATCCGGAAGGGTTGGCAGGTATGATATATTGTTGTAGGCATTGAGGTTTATCGGAAGGTTTTTGTAGTAGTCCTTACAACATTTATTTATTTTGCGAAGTCTTAAATATGAAGATCATAGTGGATGAAGGATCCATGTGGAAATCTCAGTGTTTCTGGAGTGGAAGAACGATGCAAGTAATAAACAGTCAGTTACTCAAAAAACTTGTCTTATTTAATCTTCAAATGAAAGCTAGGGATATACAAATATTACCCATTGAATGGTTCTGGACAAATTATTTCTCACTGTCAACACAAACCTTATTTACTCAAATTGCTAAATCTGTTTACATTTGTCTGGTAGCAGGTACATGCAGATTTAACAGTTAATTTTTCACCCATTAGGCCAATTCAAATGCATGATTCTTGAATATGGCAGAGAAATTATATCAAATGTTAGAGTCCGAATAAGAACTTTAGAGCTCTTAGTAGGCGTGTTAACTTCGAGCTATTTTTAATTGCTTTGCAAATTTGATAAAAAATTATTTTCCGTGCCACTACATGAATATAATTCAAAAGTTTATATGAAATACCCCTTCGACCACAAACTCTTGTGAAGTCCTTAAAATGTTGTCAAAATTACCAAAAATTCGAAAAACTTTAGTTTTTGCCTAGCACTTGTTAAAATATTTTGCGAAAAGTCAAAATCATTTGACGGTCAAAAATCCAAATCCGTCGAAAAAAAGGTATGTTTATTCAGACAAAGTGCGTTTTTGCGTCTGATTTCGAACTTAAATATCGTCTGTACATATTACTTTGCATATTTGAGGTCATCTTCTCGAGCCATTAAAAGACTGAGTCCTAGAACATGAAGATCCGATCATTAGATCAAAAGTTATTCAGAGTTTTTTTTGCTCACTGTATAGGATGTACTATGGAGTAGGAAAGTTTAACATTGGATAATTATATTCGTGAATTGTTAGCAGTCTAACTTTTAAAAAATATGTCGTAGACGTTGAAACCCACAGAAATGCCAAGGAAATGGATCTGAAATATTACATGCTGAAAGGATCATATTTATTTATGAACTAGTTCTTTAATTGTAAGAAATTTATTGCCATTTTAAGTATTTTTTGCTATGTTTTTTTCACTAATAATATATTCGAATGCATAAATCTACTCCTATTTGTGATTACGAGACAGCAAATTTTTGTTATGTCTGACGTATAAGTCGACCGTTGAAAAAAAACACATAAAAATTTCTATTTTATTGCAAATTTTTTTACAAAGTGTGAAAATTTAAATTTGTCCTAGTTTGGTGAAGACTATTTTTGTGGGTCTCAGCGGATGAGGAAGTAAAATCCATTGTGGAGCTGGATCCGTGTAACAAAACTGCTATCGTTATTGAATCTAATACAGATTATGTTCTGGATTCTTTAAATTTGTTGTTTTACAGTATATCTCAAAAGCTTTAATTTTTTAAATATCCTCAAATAAATTTAAATTTTCATGAATTTTTTCGAACGCGATTTAAAGTATTGTTTCTAAGAAAGCTTTTACATATATAAAAAAATATGAGAGCAAACTAAAAATTGTATATAACATTAAAAAAAGTTTTTGAACAGGGTAAATTGATGTAAAGTTGTTGGGCTTGATGCTTATCATTAAGTTTTTAATCATTTAAAGAATCTCTAATTTATAATATATTAATTTGCACCAAAATATAATTGTAAAACGGTTTACATGTTTATAAACCGATTTTTGTAAGATTATCCTGAAATATACCGTAATTAGATAGAATCATAGAATCACGTTATAATAATAAATAAAAAAAACTTTTCTTTCGATTTTTTTAACTCTAAATTTAGAAACTAATCAAAAAACTTAGTAGCAGAGAAGAGTATGAAAAGCATTACAGGTAAATGGTTTTAAATTAGGGATACAAAAATAATTTAATCCTTTAATGACTTATTAAAGTTACACTAATGACGTCTGATGGAAACTGAATCCTACCATGCAACTTTCTGGCCAGTAAAATGCAGTCTGATTACAATATGAGGAATCTTAATTTTTATTATAAATTGACAAATAACTTATTATAACGACCAAGTGCATATATGAAGGAACATTTTACCATCTCATGGGTTTTTAATGTTTTGAATTATGTTAACTCTTTTTAAATTAAGTTTGTTTCAATTTTCCCAGTAGGTAGTTTTGCACTTAGAATCAGAATTAGTTAATCATGTCAGTGCTCTTGATTATTCCAAAAACACCTTACAACACACAAAATTATTTATTTTACAGTTCTGTTTACAAAAATATAAAATACTAGCTTCATCAATAAATTTCGAAACACTCAGATATAAAATGGCGTAAATAAAAATATATTAATGCTCAAAAATAAACTCAAAGTAATTTTATTTCTTCTCCACAAAAAAGAACGAATAAGCACAAAAAAGCAAAACAAACCGTTACTATAGCAACTTAATTTTGTGAACTAGATTAAAGTTAAAAATTAAGCAGACGATAATTCTCAACAGTAAGATTTCGAATAATCTTTATAAGAGATACATTCTTACTCACTCTATTCTTCGAAACAGAGAGTATTACGTTTTATGAAATACAAAATGAAGAAATACGGTTTGTTCGAAATGCAATATCACCATTAATACTCAGTAACTACATTCTTAGATTGGTGGAGCTTGGCCGTTTGCTATACATGCATTGCATTGAATTTATAGTTTTTGTTCCCTGCGAGCCACCAAGCAGCGCTGGAGGCATTACCATCAAGTTTTGTATACGTATTGGAAATTTTTAAAGAGACGTCTTTTAAATGATGGCTATTTATAGGAATACCAAGTATATTAATAACAAAAGCTTTTTTTTTGAAAGCCATTGACGACCCACCACCGGAAAAATATGATTTGTGCGATCGACAGAACCAGTGTTTTTTGGAAACTTAACCTTGACAAACTAGTCTTAAAGTGTAAAATAAAGGGCTGCTTGGTTTGGCAAGAAATTTCAATTGTAAAATTTTGTTGAAACTCAGTTTCTAGTAACCACGATATTCTTTTCTGGCTGTCTCTTGCTTTTAATGAAGCCAGCTTCGGGTTACCACAATTCCTGTTTACCATTGTGTGATTTGCTCTTTATTTTCATTTGTATATACATAGGCATGTTTTCACATTGCTAAATATCAGAAGGGTCCCCGATTCTTAACTTAAACCAACGAATCTTGCCATTCCACGTTGTTTTCGCTTTCGAAAACTTGTCACCAAAAGATAGCTCCAAGACAATTGATAAATCAAAGAAGCAGGCTTTTGCAAGAATTTTTAGGACATTATAAAAAAAACGTGGCTCTTTCGATTTTCGGAAATTTCTCTTTAAACTATGCATCGCGGCAACAGGAGCCTATTTTGAAATCTTACAATACGTTGTGATGATTCGATTAATAAATTATTATTTTTTTAAAAGTTACTGACAACCTCTACAAGCAGATCCTGTGTATTGACATTCGAATTAAACTAAACTTAATCAGAGGAATCTGTAAGATGATATGTTAATCGAAATGGCTCTAAATTCGATAATGTGATTAAAAACATTATGAAGCGGCAGGTTTTGCGGAAAGATTAGTTCAAAAAGTTATTAGAGGAAGTTTGGTTGGAAATTTATGAACAAGAAATTCAAACTGTTTAAAAGTGTAAGACTAGTAGAAGCCTTGATACTGACTTATTATAGGTAGCTCTTCTCAATTTTCTTTTTCAATTTTTTTAAAAAATATTTAAACAAAAATTATATTTTTTATTTAATTGACTTATTATTTATAAACATTGGTTGAGTTATAAAATTAAAGTATATTATAACTCAAACTCATTAAATGTAGAATCTAAGGAACAGCATAATATGTTTCTTAACATGTAAACATTTTTTTAGAAATTTAAACAGTGATTAATATACTGGAATTGAATAACCAAAACAAGGAAATAGCAAAATAAAATGAGCATTTAATAAAAGGCATGATTTTTTTCCTCAATGCATTTCCAGAACTAACTCCCAGTATATTTGTATGTGTAGTATTAAATTTCCTTTTTTTTTTTAGTAAGAGTAAAACAAAATTGCGTAATCTTACATTAAATGAATACTAAACAAAGAATATCAACTTAATTTTAATGGAAATAAATTGACTTAAATTCTACTAGAAAAGTAAGGTATCTATATTATACTGGAAGTTACTAGTACTTATATATGGCTTAAAACCTTAAGAAATCTGGTCAAACATTCGTGTTCAGATATTGAATTTACTACAATAGTTTATGTCTTCAAATTAGTTTTATTTTATTCACTAGCAATTTACCTACAGGAAATAAAGTTTGTCAAAAAGAAAAAACAAGGAAGCTTTAATATTGGAAAATTTTCGCCATTTTGTAAGTAATCACTACGAACATAGGCGTAACATGAAGGGGCACACTTTATTTTTAGAAAACTATTTGTATTTTTAAGTGTTATGCATAGATGCATATTTATTTTTTATATGTAGGCGCATTTATACGTAAATCTATGCAAAAAACTTCTAGTATAATACTGTTATACTATTTTAAGTACAATACTGTTTTGTAATAGTATAATATGTAAAATACTGTTTTTTAAAAATAAAAACTGTGCTTATGCTACGCCTAGGACTACAAATGAAGCTTTACGGATTTATGTCCTGTAAGACATATGAATAATATTCATAATGAGATTCGTTATAACATTAAAAATAGAATATATTAGTTATATTACGATGTACGTGCAACGGGTGTAGTTGTTGTTGTTGTAGTTCATTTACGTCGCACTAGAGCTGCACAATGGGCTGTTGGCGACTGTCTGGGAAACATCCCTAAGGATGATCCGAAGACATGCCATCACAATTTTGATCCTCTGCAGAGGGTGTGAATCATTAGGGATCTGCTAAATTTGCTTAACTAAAAGGCTCGGCAGTGTTCTAAAAAATAAGATATTAAGTTCTCAAAATTTATAAACATTGTTCTAGTACTCAATAGCTCAAAGATTTAAAAAATTGGAGAGTAAATTAAAAGTGTAAATTCGGTTTGGTACAAAAGATGAGGCTTCTGAAAATTCAACAAAATAAATTTAAAATTAGATATCATGAAATTAAATCATAATAAATTAAATTAATTTAATGATAATTAGACTAATACTTCAAAAAAAAAAATAAGAATGAAAATTTTATCTCAATGACAAAATGCTTTAGCGATGCGCAGAATTTAACAATTTACACCTTGCCAATGAATTTACTTAGACAGTGCAATTAATATTTATTGCAATTAATATTGCAATTAATATTTATTTACGATTGAATTTAAGCTGATAATTATTATAAATTTTTTCAAGTAATTGAACGATTGTTATTAAAATACAACAAGAAATTCGAAGTCCTGTATTTAAAGACAAAAATGCTAGCTTATAATGATTAAACTATAAAGCTTACCAATTACTTCATCGCCGTTGATGCATTGTACGCTCATCACTTGTAATAAGGAACCGATGACAAGGAAATAAAACAACATTTTCTTATTCTAAAAGAAAGTATTATAGTTAAACTTTGTAAAATTATTAAAATAAGTGATTGAAGATGATTGAGGCAAAAATGACAATATTTTCTTACTCAGTAAAAAAAAAAAGAAGAAGAGTATTATCGTTAAAACTTGTAAAATTATCAAAGAAATGATCATAAATGGTCGAGACAAACAGAATAACATCTTACTCTATAAAAAGTAGTATTATTGTTAAATTATTAAACTATAATACTATATTACAATTAAAATATACACTATATTATTAAAAGTAGTATTATTGTTAAACTGTGCCAAATTACTAAATGATAGTTCACAGTTAAGATAAGGAGAAACAGAACTACATTTTTTAGTCAGTAAAAAGTATTATCGTTGAAACATCGCGAAATTACTAAAGAAATGATCGTTGATGGTCCAGACAAGGACACACAGAATATCGTCAACAATATCGGTCAAGACAAGAACGTTATGATCGCAAATGGTCGAGACAGACAAACAGAATAACAAGTAGTATTATCGTTAAATTATTAAACTATGTCACAATTAAACTATACACTATATTACTGAAAGTAGTATTATTGTTAAACGATGCCAAATTACTAAATGATCGTTGACGGTTAAGATAAGGAGAAACAGAATCACGTTTTTTCGTCAATAAAAAGTATGTTGAACATCTTGAAATTACTAAAATGATCGCAGAAGGCCAAGACAAGGAGACATAGAATATCGTTAACAATATCGCTCAAGACAGGAACCTCACAGAATATCTTCGATAATATCAAGCTAAATCGGAATAGTGGAGTTTGTTAAAACGTGTTTTTCAGAAATTGGACTTAATCGAGATTTCTCCAACTCATGTAAAAAACTACGAATATATAGTAAATTTTGAGTGAATATTATAAATTCAGTTGTTTGATTTCTTAGAGTTTGTTCTGTAATGATTTACTTTAAGATATATTTTCAGAATCTTTATAAAAATGTCTGGCATAAATGTTGTTATAAGAAAAAACCACACATTGTAAGAATCTAGACTGTAAAATTCTATATAAAAAATATCTGCATTAAATTTACTCAACTTTTGTGTCAAAAACTCACCTTATCGAATAACAAGAACTTTAATTAATTATTTTTATAAAATTAGAGCACTGAAGTATTCTATTCTGTGCTTTCATTGTTTTTCAATAGCAATAAAATGTAGTTTGATTTTTCAATCTAATTAAGACTCCTCTAAAAATATTTTCGAATTGCAATGTACTAGTGCATTAAAGAATGGAAACATGTGAATTACTTCTATTTAAACTGAAGAAAAACTCAAATCATAATAAAATAGCTTTGTAAAACATATTAAAACGTAATTTGAAAGCAGATTTCCATTAACTTTCGTAATGTTTCATGATAATACAAATCTAATGCGTTTTTTATTACTTTAAATAGTGCATAAATTAAAAAAAAAAACAGTAACAAACCTGTAATCCAGTCAGAACAAATCAGAGAACAGAAACTGTCAAACTCCCACGCCGCAGGAGTTTTCTATCTTAAAGTCAGTAAAAATATTTAAGAAGCACTACTATTAACCGGGTTTAGTTGAAGTTAAGACCAGTTAAAGGCTGAATTACATTAAAAGTGGTCTGAAGTCGGATACAAATGCATTATCCATTACGCGCGATGTCTGGCCTGCACTGAAAGTGATTACATAAGTAATGAAATACATTAAAGAAGCTTCCAATAAACAATATCTTCCATTCACTAGTTGCTTTCATTGCATAAAGTCATGCCATCTTTGCCAAGTGGTCTCCCCTTCCTACCAAATGCTTAGCATAGTGAAGGTAGCAGGTTCATATCGATCGTAACCCTGGATGCATCTTTATGCTAGCCTTATAAAATTTGTGTTATCTCTTCTTTAACTTGAAAGGGATGGGTGACCACATCGATCAGACTACAAAGGACGATGATGTGTGGCATTGTTCCTTGATAAACTGTTCTACTGTAAAGTGCTTAACTTCGCGCGTAGGTCGTTGGATTACCAAAGCGGGGGTATTCCAACCATCCCTTCTACAGAGGATCAAAATGTTGATGGCATGCTTTCGGATCATCTTCTGGAATGTTTCCCAAACCGTCACCAATAGCTCATTGTGCTGCTTTAGCGTAACGTAAATAAACAACTACTACTACGATTCAACTTTGAAGGGCTTAAACCGTATTTGTAATGACCTCACAAGTCTGAATATGTATGTATGTGTAGTTTATTTACATCGCACAGGAGCAGTAGGATATTGGCGGCGGTCTGTGAAACTGTGACGGTTTTTTGATCCTCTGCTGAGGGGATGGCTCTCTTTGTTTTTAATCCAACGACCTGCGCTGCAATTGAAGACTTTACGGTAGAACAGTTTAACGATGATTGATACCGCACAGCCCCGCTCCAATCAAAATAGTTACCCACGAGCACAATGGTCACTGCCAATGATGCTTGACTTTGGGGATCTGAAAATCGTGGACGATCAATTCGCTACGCTGGATGATCAGTCCACTGCATTTATTTATTTATTTTATTGAAATTACATATATTTGCTGACTTGTGTGCTCAATATAGGCTTATAAGTCATTGTCAAGTAGAAAATACAGATAGAACAATTCAGAGAAAGACATCACAAAGAATACATCCAGGCTTACGGCGGGATTCGAACCCGCTACCTCCACGCTTAACACGGCGTTTGGACCGGCGATACCGCTTGGCCAGGGAGGCCCCAGTCCACTGCAGTATGCATAACTATGTGTAACAATAAATAAAGCGTTAGGTCCTCGTTAGCCGAAAGATATTGTCATTCCGTCAAGCATTTGGTAGTGTAGAAATAGTCGGTTAGAATCCTACTGTAACCCTGCACGTGTCTTTGTGCCGCCCTGCTCCAATTTGTGCTGTTCCCCAACTTGATGAAGAAACTTGAACACAAGTCTGTACATGAATTTGCAAAAATAAATTATTAAGTAAAAAAAGGGCACTGTCTGACTACAGTGGATTTGGTTACCATCGTATGTATTTCTTACTTCTCTCTGATTTCACAGTGTGTTGGGAAAAGTCTTCAGCTTCCACAGCCTGCGTCGAGGTGCCTTTCTGAAAAGCCGGTGAATATTACCACCGAACAGAACATGAGCCCGGGGTCTTCGCACCATTACTTAGGGTGAATCCGAAATCGCCAAAAGCTTATCATTGTAGCTCTAATGCAACAATATCCTAAGTTGTCCAGCGTTCCGGGAAAAACTAAAAAATTTAGTGAAATAAATGAAATGAGTCTAATAAATTAAATGGCTAAACCTTTATTTCAATGCGTATGCAAGTGAATAACTAATTATCTTTCGATGTCGCGACAACTGAACATCAAAATCTATTTTTAACCTTTCTTTCTTCAACCACATTAAACACCAACACACATGTTATTAGGTTTACACGTGTGTTGATGTTTAGAGAAATTTTCGGCCCTAAATCATCAGCCAAATTATTTAATTATTAACATGAGATATAGTAAAGCTTGTTGAGTTGGCTTTTCTTATGGCACTGTCTTCTTTCAATAACGCGCCTATATTGTATCTCACCTGTACTACGAAGCGTGGTGCTGGGCCCATACCCAAGAGGTCACGAGTTCGATCCCTGCTAGGCGAAAGCTCCATTGCAGTAAATAGTGACTGGTGCAGGTAAAATCAGTCTGGTCACAAAGTCCACCATGCTACAATAACAAATCATACCTGTACTGAATTAGAAATTGATGGTTTTCTGGTTTCGGTCGAATTTATGATCTGTGGGGGAATGAATATATGTATGAATAGGTCCAACTCAATAAACGGACTGTGACTTGTGTGTGTGTGCCGTTGAAGTCTTGTTCTTGGCCACAGACGACACCACTGAAAAATAAGACACACACTATCTGCCTTAAACATGCTTGGTTTCACCAAGCAAGCCTGCTGGTATTGGCAAGTGGCATTAGAAACAACAACACACTACAAAGCGTTGATTAAACACTCATTTTTGATTTGGCTTTGGCGTTTGGTTAGGCAAATCTTGGAGAAGTTATCTCCCATGGCTTGTCCGTATTTTATATTATAGAAAATGTATGTTTTTACTTGAAATGTCATTTGGATAACAATGCTCTTTTTTTGTTTTGAACCCAGAGGCCAGCAACGATATAAAAGTCTTAAAGTGATTATGATCCCGTTTTCAACACCTGCTTCAATCCATAAATTTTTTTATTTTTCCCATAAACAACAAAATTCCATCTACTTTAATTGCTTTAATCTACACCAAATGTCCAACATTTTTCATTACAGGTGTAATTCATTTGCTTTAATAAAAATGAAATTACTTTGCTATAAATTTTATGACATGTTAATTTTTTCTATCACAATATTACGTATTTAACGGTTTTAATCTTCATTATCCTTCTTAATAAAAAAAAATCACGAATCCTTGGATGAATGGAACAAAATGAATTCACTGCAAAGATATCACTTTTAATTTTCTGACAGACCTATTTTCAAACTATACACCATATAAAAATAGAAAAATCAAATTTTTTGACACGCTCGTTGTGTCTTAGCGACGTAAGAAATGCCCATTTTTTTTCCTCTTTCAGAATTGTATAGAAAACACTGAAATTTTCAAAATTTTATTATTCTGAAACTAATTTGAAATTAAAAACAAGTCAGCCTATTTATTTCAGCTATAAGAGTACAAAACTGCAAAAAATTAACTTTTCTTGGCGACAGTACTACAAATCTGATTTTCGTAAATCTCCCGAGTAGTCAGACAAAATTTGCCTATTAATGAAAATCTTTAGGAGGTCACAGCGATCTTAAGTGACTTCCATGGGAAATCCCCCTCTCACATTCTCTTTAACATATTCATGCATTATTTTGAATAAAAAGTTTTTAAATTGCTCAAATCAGGTCTCGAAAAACCAAACCAACTTCGGCGGTCAAAAATTCCACGCGGACAGCAAATTTCTAGAATCCAACGTCTGCGCACATCACTTCCAAAATGACCCTCTAATCTCGAAATACAGCAACATACTGCGGATGGTGGAATTGATGTTTCCTCTTTCTAGGAGTACTGCAGCGGTTGAAAGGGGCTTTCAGCAATGAACTTACAAAAAAAAGAAAGAAAAAAAAAACAATACGTACTGGTCTTAAACAAGAAGCGTTAACCGCAATTATGAACACCTACCTAAATGGAAAACCGCTTTCAGATTTCTGTGCCTGAAACCTCTGTAAATCATTGGCTTGATTGTGGAACTGGAAAACGTCATATTTGATTCATTTAAAAAACGCAGTACCATCGGATAAATTGACAGATAATTTGACCTTTGTTAATTAAATTATTTCATAAAAGAAATGCTAGGTTTTACTATTAGTAACCTAGTACTTCTTTTATTACTGTATAATGTAATCCTTGTATTTGTAATCTTAGTAACTACTAATTTATTGTGCAACTTATATAAATGTTTGTAATAAACAAGAGAAAATTATATTTTTATTTATTTAGAAGCGACGGGTTAGTTTCAAAGGAGGAAGGATACATTGTTGGACAAGCCGTCCTCGGGGACGGGTGAAATTTCTGAGTTTTTTCGAGCACTGGTTCAAATTCTCATGATGGAAAAGATGTGTGAACAACACTTGTCTTAGTAGACTGTGATACAGGTTTTCAAGAGTTACTTTCTATTAACTCGGTTAATTCAAACATTCAATTTATTTTAGAGCCTGAAATTAACTTTTTCAAATGTTCATATAACTAAATACACAGTTTCCTTCCTCTGCTTATTGTAAACATTCTGTTCTTTTGCCCCTTTATGTTAATTCTAATAATCCTAATTGTTAGAAAATTTCTGCAATTCACGCTCTTGTCATCGACGCACTAATTTCTTTTAACTTCGTACTTTCTCTGCTCTTAAACTGCTAACCGTGGATTTAACCCTTTACATCTCAACATCTCTGATTTTAATAAAAATTACTGATACATTAGAATACATCATTCTAAGTATGTAAAAAATAGTAAAAAAATTTTACAACATAAAATATAAAAAATATTGGAAAAAAATTTATTGTTCCATTTCTGCAACATGATGCAAAATGACAAAAAAGTGCTTGTTGCATTTCTGCAACATTGTGAAAAATGGCACTAAGATTGAAAGATGAATTTTTAAAACAGTTGTTACTTTTGTTGCAACAAAGTCCTACACCACATTTCTCACAAATAGTTTGTGTAAATCCTTTGCACTTTGGGTATTTGCATCTGATTCTTTTGTTAGCCTAATTAGACCAGTGTCCAATTTCATCTTGGCCTTGGCGCACTGGTTTTGGCCGACAATCGCCGAAATCGTCCTTCAAAATTTGTTGGGGCAAAGACATAGGCTTTTTGTGTATGTTGCAGATATGCAACA